TGGAAAATATTTAAGCTAAGTTTCACTACAGGAAGACAAGCTACTATAAAATCATTCACATGGGTAAACCAATTATTGTTTGTACAATTATTGTAAAAAAATAGACTAATAATTGAAAGAACCAAATGAAATTTAAGTTTTATAACTTCAAGGAGAATTTTATTTCCAAATAAGATTTAAAATAAAAACCAGAACCAATATCCATGGAATATTCGTGATTATGTAAAGCTGAGGAATAGAAAAAATTATTTACAAAACACTGACACTAGCATGTTTAGGGCAATGGATACCTAGGCTAAAAGTTTAATTATTTGATATTAAATGTCATTTAATCTGGGTTGTTCTACCAATAAAAATGTCAATGAACATTTTCTCCAAATAATAATATATCACCATTCCGTGTATGACATTTAGGCAAGCATTAATAACCATAACTATATATATTATGGGTACCTACTTCAGCACATGTGCTCAATACTAGAGTAAAAATTCAAGAACTTTTAAAAGCCACCACAAATTTCAAACACTAAGATATGTGTGATTAGATTATAAAACCTCGGTTGCTAATCCATGAAGCAATTAGATGTCAAAATGTCCAAAATCCACATTTCCCAAAACCACTGTCCACAATAATACACCGAAATAATTAGCTTATAACCTAGGCAAAGGCTGTAGTCCAACAATAGTAACTAAAAATTTAAATTACCACGCAGTTAGATTCAATTTGTTAAATTAGCCTACTATGTATAAATTAAGGTCTACTCTTAATCAAGGAGCTCTTATTTAGGTAAGTTAAACAGTTTTGAACTATTCTGAGATGCCAGCTTAGCAGTAACCTGTTTAAAATAAATATATTACGTGTGCATGGTTATTATAGTTAATTACTTTGAACAGGGACATCGACAAAAATTTCCTTTTTGGTAAACTAGAAGAATCTAGTTTCATCCTCTATCTTGATAAAACTAAGCTCTACCAAGCACAAATTTCTGTAACTAAACGCTTTAACAGAAAATTGTTGCCTGTCTTGGCATCAGAATTGTTTTTTTTTTACCCTTTACAACATTTTCATTTAACAACACAATCATTTAAAACCGTACAAAGGGTAGTGCGTTTTCGATTTAGTTTTCTCAGGACATCCACAGCCCCCTCCCATCTGTAGAGGCCCATGATTTGTTTATAAATGAACAATATTTATAACTTCTTGATATTGTTATGTCCTTGCCCAAGGTTTGAACCTACCCAAAACCAATAAGATACACTTACATCCATATTATTTGTTTTTAAAGTTAATTAACAATATTATCTTCCAAAACAGTAGATTCAAAGTAATCCGGCCTCGGCTAATCGGTCACCTCACTTAATTCGTACGTGCCATCACCTATCGGTGAAATCTTTTTGCCGTAATATTCGTGTAGACATCATCACCGGCTCCTAGAATGGCAGCCAAAATTATGTTTGTCCTGCAATCAAGGAAACTTCATCCCACAATCACACCACAAACTTTCATCGTCTTCCGTTATCACAAAAACGTTGTCGTCATTCCCTGCGATCACGGCCAAATCTAGGACATCACTTACAGTAACAGAAACTTTATCATCTTCTACCACGGTCGTGACAAACTTAGAACGCCTCTCGCAGCGAGGGAAGTTATTGTCGACTTAACACAATTGCGGCTAAAATCCTACACAAATCCCACGGTCATGGGAAAAAATCATAATCCTCTTCGACGATCGCGGCAAAATACTGAACATGTGCTAACTTGCGTGGGCATCATCATTGTTACCCGCGATTACAGAATATAGTTCTTATCTACGATTGCAGCAAACTGAATATCTCCTGCAGAAACATAAACATCATAACTGTCTCCCACGATCATGGCAAAATCCTGAACATCCTTCTCCTTGGATAATACGACCTTTTCAATATTTCGCCCAAGGTCCCAGTCCTGCAGGTGACGGATTAGCGAGGTTGTACTGTACAACCTAAGGTTAGTATTATTTAGCTAGTACAAATATTCTCAACAATTATATCTACTGAAAGAAGTAAATTTCAACAGTTAATGATAACTAACACCAGTCTTATACGATTAAATAACGAATTTGAATCTTAAGTTCAACCAATCACAAAATTACACTAAACTACACTTATCACATTAATCTGTCACCAATATGGTGTACTTGAGGTGTTATCACAAAACTTAGTGAAAGGACTGTCCTTATAAACACTACATTCAAAAGTGCCTGATGTTAACTGAACCCATGGTAATGGGTATTGGGCCCTTAAGAAAATATAGACACTTGTTGGACAGATAATTAGAGTACGATGTATCTGCAAGGTTAGAAGTAAAAAGGAAAATTCAAAATTAACTGACTCCTCTCTTTAAAAACTCTTGAGTTTATTTTGCTGATCCTAATAATAGTGTAACAAGTTCAAAGTAGGGATGTAGGCCTAATGAGTTGGGTTGCAATTAGGGGTGTGCGAGTATTCGAACATCGAGCTTTTTCGAGCCGAATAGCGTCCTATTCGGCTCGGCTCGTGATTTTCAAAAAGTTCGAAATGTTCGAGCCGAATACTTATTGAACTAGCAAATAAAAATTAAATTAATAAATAAGGAACTAACTTTCATTTAAATTTACTCTCCGTTTCATAATTCTGTCTTGATAAGCAAGAACCTCAGCTCAGTCAAGACGCAATGATTATCGATCGTAATTTTGAGGAAACTACCACCTATCGCGTTGTCTTTCCAACACAACTATTCGTATCGTAATATACAACGCAGTGCGAATGCGTGATTGGCTAAGTCGCTATGACGACACACGGTTGCCACGGCAACCTACATTGCGCACTGAGCACTGCGCCTTGTGTGGGAGGGGAGATTATACCAACAAACTATTTCAGGAATTCTATTTTGGGACGGATGAAAGATAAGGAAGAAACAAAGGTGGTCACGTGTGCAAATGTAGTGGGCGACACAATAAGGCTGTAAACGAGTATCGTCGTGTCGTTGTTCCTTGTTTGTTTACTTTTTAAGATTCCTTATCAAACGCCCCTATCTGCTATCTCTCTTTCTCTCTCTCTCTAACAATGTACTGATTAAACAAGATTGTGGTTGACGACTTTTCTACTTATAAGTTTCCCTGCGGTTATTTTAGTTCAATCAATCCCATAACCTTTCTAATGTTTATCAAAATAATTAATTAATATGTTTTGTATTTTATTTCCTTTAAACCAACCCCTATTTACCATCTGTATTTTATAGAATAAAATGTTTGTTTATAAAGTTTGACTGGCCACACAATTTTGTACCTATTTTATTTTGTATAAAAGAAACAGTTACTTTGAGGATTATATATATATCAATAAGTGGCGCGTGCTGTAATGAGTGCTTTTTATTTTCAAAATAAGTAATGAGTTATTAATTTTTGATAGTACGGGTCATTAAATACCATAATGTGATGTAGTTTCCTATTTGTATCTTGCAAATAATAATAATTGATAGTTAATTCTGGAAATGAAAAATAGTGATCGCATTCATAAACCTGTTGTCAAAACAGCAACGAGGGTGTAAGGGTTTATTGTTTCAGACGCAAGGGTGTTTCAAGGACAAAGTGTTGGGCCACCCGGATGGGGGGGGAGGGGGCGGTGAGACTGTGTGAAGGGGAGGAAACTGGTTTTGGCTATTTATTGATTAGTTCGCCGACCCTTCTAGATGACAAAATTGAGTGACAGTGTTAAATCATCGTGTTCTGCATTTCATTTCTTGTTTACTTTGTGTGTTATTCTATTAATTCTAGTGCTTTGGTCTATTTCCTCTATATGTCAATTATATATTTTTTTATATATAAGTAAAACTTGTCTCTCCACCTTTTTGGATCCAAACCAACCATGTTCTTTTTTTATTAATAGGATTCATTTAGAGGTGTGCGGATATCCGAAAAATCGGGTCGGATTCGGTTCGGATATCCGTATCCAAACCGGGCCCAAATTCGATATCCGACACTATCCGTTATTAATCCGACTTTTTCGGATATACAATATATTTTGACGTTTTGGACAGAAAACTAAATCTCCATAGCTACCATTAGTTTCCCAGGACAAAATTACAGCAATACGTTTCCAACGACCTAACAGCAAACGGCAAAGAAGCCGTATGATGCAATACTGATAACTAGTTTAGTCGTTATCGGCTGTTTTGTTTTACGATTAGATTCGTCTGGAATGAATGGACATAAAGCAGAAAAGAACTACCATGGTCAAATGAAAGTCAACTCGTGCTTGTCTCGCTCCTGATACTAGGGGCGCTGTAATAGTTTATTTACAGTACTGTTACAGTACTGTAAAGATAACAACGTCATTCTTTCTCTTTGTTCTTCTATTTCTTGGGTTTCCCTTCATCACGCATTCAACATGTTGTCATGGTTACTAATCACCCATGTCGTTATCAGCTTTTGTGACATAGCGCACAGCATGGGGTAAAACTTGACGAAAATCGGATAATTTTTACCTACCAATTAAGTACTACTTTATTGGTATTTGGTACTGTATTAATAATCGGTCAAAATGGCCGATTTTTGTCAAATTTTACACCAAATTTATTGAAATTTCAAGGTGAATATTAAAAAAACAATTAATTATTACCAAATATTTGTATTCATTTAAAAGATTGATTTGTTGTATTGCGTTCCCCACTGAGTGCAGCCGAGCGGCACTAATGAGGGTCGGACCTTCTTGCGGGTGAACAATAGACGGCTTATCAGACCCACCCCTCCCCCGTGGTCTGGAGAAAGCTTGTAAACAAACTATTGCACAAGCCATTGGGCTGCTTCAACTATAATTTTGTCAAATGAACTGTGATGTTTTAAAATCAAAAACAATAATTTGGGACCATACTGCTTAACAATAATGGACTGCAATTATTGTTAAACATACAATCCATTTTTACATTAAACACAAATATTTTGTGCATGGAAAACAACAAGAATAATCACGTGTTTTTAAATTTATTTTGTATTTATTTATACAAAATAGAATTAAATATTCATAGTAGTTACAATATACATATGTAATCGACTTGCTAGTTGTTTTGTCGTCATTCAAGGTCGCGTTGCTGTTCTGTCATGAAAGACAATCTGATTGTCTCAGTCTGCACTGCATATCTCTTCAGGCCTTCAATCGATATCCTTTTATTTCTTGCATCTTCATTTAGTTCAGTTCAGTTCTTATCGTGATTATCTACTATTTGATGTCTTGACAATTCTCAATGTTTTTAAACATATTAAAATAACATTGTGTTTATTTAAAAATTGACTGAACATTATTATAATTATGCACTTTTTTAAGAAAAAAAAGTTTAATAATTAAGATAAGGTTAGGCCTACGCTAGGAAAAGCTCGGCTCGAAAAAGCTCGAGCTCGAACATTTTTTAAAAAGCTCGGCTCGGCTCGGCTCGAGGTTGAAAATCACTATTCGCACACCCCTAGTTGCAATATCGACTAAAGACATTTTTATTTATATTATCATCACCATCATGATATTGTTTTCCAACTAAAATAAAAATCCCCCAAATAGTTTAGCATTAACTCAATTTTATTTACAATTGCTTGGTGGGTAATATTTATAGACAAGAAAAACCTGAGGCTTGAAATACTCAAGGGATAAAACCCTAAACGTAAGTGGATATTGCAAATGCTTTACAAAGCCTTCAAAAATAAACAAAATGTCAAAATAGATCTAGATTTTGCATTCCTCTAACATAAAAGAATAGTTAGGCAAGAATACTTTGACATAAAATACAAATTTTAAATTAGATTTTTTTATGAGTAGCATTTTTAACCTGAAAATTATGGTTTGAGTGACCGTAACACTCAAATTATAATAAATAAAAACAATTTATCTACTAAACTATTCTCCGTTCACAAAATGTAGGCGGTTTTAGGGGAAGAAATCTATTCCCTCCACTTGATTCTACCTCTAAAACAATAGCTTAACAGCTGAGGTTTGCGCTAAAACGTCAATCAGCTGCAACATATACATTAGGCAAAACAAGTAGCAGGGGAATTCCCCTCAAACCGCCTAAATTTTGTGAACAGACTTAAAACGTCATAATACAACAACAAAAATCAAAAATATCTAAAAGGTTTTACTATACACTAAATTACAATATTTGTTACTTACTATCCTTCATTTTCGGAGGAGTCAGTTTTTGTACAAGGTTATCAATCATGTCCCCGTCAACTAACCCGATAAACTTGTCAATAACTAAGCCGTTGCGAATCGCAATCACGGCGGGAACTGCTTTCACCTCAAACGTGTGGACGAGCTCTGCGTTTTTCTCCACATCAACAGTCGCCAGATTGATGTCTTCTGATGTTCCCACAAGTTCCTCTAGCTTGGGTGTAAGTATATGGCAAGGCTCGCACCACTCTGCGTGAAAGTTCACAATCACAGGCACAGGACTGTTCATCACCTTATTCATAAACTCCTCATTGTCATTGATGGTGAAAGATTTCAGCAAACTGCGTGCACACGAGATGCTGCGGTTGAGAAAGGCCTTTTGGCGCAAACATGTCATCATTGCGGCAGCCATTGTTTTGTCGCTGTGTTAACAAAATTTGCAAGTTTACAATTCCAAACTCTTGATCCTCTGTCCTTGCTTTGGTTCCATAAGCACCAGTGTGATGAATGCTACAACACTCGCAAAGGTAGAAAGTCCCAGGAAACCTGCTAGAAGTACTCGCCAAATGAAGAGGTTGTCGTATATCTGATAACAAAACAGCAGCGAGTGAGACTAATATATTAAATAGATAGTGATGGATTAGAACGGTAATTTTGTTTCCAACTGATTTAAACTACCTACATCAAGACTACTATGGAAGAAAGTTTTACCACTATTTTATTGAGAGCAACCAACTCATAGAGTTTAAGATGCTGGATTTAAATAATTTGACGCAAATAAATAGGCCTAAATTAAATTTTCAATTAGGGGTATAAGAGTTTGACACTTGATTGTCTAAAAGCTCAAATATAACATAGATCAAGTTACGATATAAACTTGTAAGCCAATTTCAGTGAACCATAAATTAAAAGAAGTAGTTAGGTACAGATACCCCACGCAATGCTAATATGTGTAAACAATTTTTCGTCCAAAAACCTATACTCTATACCTATACTTTTATCTATGAGTGAACTCTCACTAATCTGGCACCATATTGTTTCTTGGCCTACGTAGGTCCTATTAGTGAAAGTGACAGACTAGTGAATGACAATAAGGGAAATAAGGAAAAAAAATCTTAAATAATTTATAAGATATAGCAATTAGGCCTATTACTGCAAAATATGATCATATTTTCCACAGTCACGGAACTAGGCTATCATTTCCTGCCGGCAACATCACAAGCATCTGCCTCGGTCTTTGAGACATATCATTGTCTCCAATTGCAAAGATCCAAATAATATCGCAAAGGATAAGATAACACCTTAGAATCTCGAATTTATGTATCTTAACCTTGATAACTCAAACCTTGCTTGCTTAAAACCCTCAATAACTCCTAATATTGACCATTCCCCCTTCAGTTTTGTTTATATCAAGGTCCTACTGTATTAAGTTTACAGGACCAATGTTTTTTTCTAATGTTTAAGCACTTCTAAGGCACAGGAAAGTGTGGAGATTAATTATGCATGGTGATGCATGGTTATAAGGTGGCCATGGGAACATATAATAGTTTAAATTTATCATTAGAAATGAGATTTTTACCTGAAAACAATGGTGCAAAGATTTATTTTTCTGTGTAGACAAAAATTACTCAAACCCCGATCGTTTTAATTTTGTTACTGTAATGACTCATTGTCCGCACGGGTGAGTACAACGACTATCCGCAGTACTATCCTGATAATTAGACCAATTCGAATATACCAAGGCAAGAATGTGGTCCGGTTTCACTATAAACTGTAGGTCCCTTAGTTACCATTAGCTGTATGGGCTATTAATTAACAGATATGTCTAAGGAATGTCGGCCTTAGTCACTAACAAGACTACAAGATCGCCCCACTCATCCTACACTCATCTAGTCATCTCCATTCATACTTGGCTTAAAATACCTACTTTGTATGGTCGCCATTTAATAAGAAAGTATAAGTATAAGTAAGACTCTGCTTGTCTCTGTCACCATTACTGTCAATTAAATACTAACAAACACAAACGATTGAAAGGATCTAGAGAAGAAGACAAAACTAAGACAACAAAGCTATAGAGGCATTTGAAATGCAACAGAGCGTTGATTTTTGTTATCTAAGTAGCCTAATCAATTCTTATTTATACATGTGAGGTAGGTAGGTCGGGTGTTATGTGGATTCGTGACTGTATTAACTTAAGTGTTTTAAAGTTAGAGTTATATTAGATTGGAAGGTACTTTATGCATATTGTACGGTAGCGTTTTTTAAATAGGCTAGTGCTTTAAACACTATTTCAATAGTGCAATAACAAAATGGAGATACCATAAATCAACAACTCGGTTCATTATTATCTAAACTATAACTTCCCTAATCTAACCTACCTTCAAAGGACTTAACTTATTACAGTCACGAATCCAAATAACACCCGGCCTATCTACCTCACATTTCCATCTTATAATAAAGGAATAAGGAATAATAAAGGAAGGCTGTTCAGAAAGCTTGGTTGGGTTATGTTAGGTTGCAACAGTGTCAATTTGTAATAGGTACAGTAGAACCCCGGTTAACCGAAATCAGGTTAACGGAAACGGTTCCATTTTTGTAGCTGAAATAAAACAATGTATTATATAGACATTGTTTAAAATTAATTTTTCCTATACGCCGTGGTAATATGTATAAGCTATTTTTAATATTATAAGCTAGTGACGGGTTAACGGAAACATTGGTTATATCCGAAATGGCTCTTCCCTCTTTATTTTGGTTAACCGGGGTTCTACTGTATAAATATCCATTTTTAAAAGTTTGGTCATAGATTAACACGTTGAGTGCAGGCCAGTCACCGAAGACGCACACTCAGGCAAGCCCGGTCATCTTACCCGGCCAGGTTCCGCAGAAATGAATCTGTCAGTGTGGCCCAACCTTGTGGAGTTATTGCATGTGCGTTGCTGGCGTTACATAACCTTTACTGTCACTGTGTGGGTTTCGCCCGCCGGTCCCCCGAAAATAGTAAATTCCTACTTGCACAATTTATTGACCTTGTATATTTATTTGCATACTTATTACTTTGTGTTTTAGCGAATTTCCCATATAGGGAATAAGCTATTACCGTAATTCTCATGTAAAACCTGGACCCAGGACCCGGCATTCCAACAGACGCTCGCCAATAGCGGAGAGGCCTGGGCGAAGCCCCGGCGCAGCACGGTAACAGCGAACACAATGGGCATTCAAATATTTCAATCTGACGAATAACAAAAGAGCAGCGGTGATTGTACTACGTTACCCCGAGATTGGACGTAGATCCCTAAAACACCCAAAGGTAGGAGCGCTGCCTGGATCAATAGTCAGTGGCTTTGTAATATGGCTTCAAGAGAGAAAATCCCCAAAACCGGCACAAAAGCATTCAGACGGGATTTTACAGGAGATTTTAGTACCAACCTACACCAAAATAAAGCTCACATTCTAAGTAACAAGCTAGCAACGATTTCAACGTTCCACAGAAATGGCTGAGCTCATACTGAACTAATGTAGTGGGGGTTACGCAACTACATCAATTGATGTATGCCGATAGGAGCCCTCGTGGCACGGCTACATCAATTGACGTAGGCAGTTGAATGTGTTAATAAAGGTGGACTCCTAAATACCAAATTGTTATCAGCAGTTCCATGATTCACTGATGATTGAAATAAATAATGGTTGGCAGGGAAAGAGTATATAATATTTTAACAATCTTTGTCTCCGCAGAAAAATTTTGCACCATTGTTTTCAGGTAAGAATGATAACCAACACCAGGCTTATACGATTAAATAACGAATTTGAATCTTCAGTTCAACCAATCACAAAATTACACCAAACTACATTTATCATATTAATCTGTCACCAATATGGTGTAGGCCTACTTGATGTGTTATCACAAAACTTAGTGAAAGGACTGATCTAATAAACACTACATTCAAAAGTGCCTGATGTTAAGTTTTTTTTGTTTTCAGGTAAGAATCTAGTTTCTAATGGGCTGATAACTTATATCAATTAGGCTACTATACTAGCGTCTCGGGGTCCTGGTTAAAAACCGATGAGAACCTCTTTAGCGAAGGAGTGGAGGGCGTAACCCCAATCTCTTCGCTTGAAGGAACACCATTACCCCAACGATACGCAGTGCAGCTATTGGTGTTCATGGTGTAGTGGATAAGAGTTCTTAGATGATGTCCATGAGGTAACCAGATCGAATCCCACCGGTGTCACTAACTTTTTGTCAAAGATTTTGCTTAGAATGTGAAACCTACTTTTTAACTGTACCGTACATCTTTTGTTAGAATTTGAGGCATTTATAATTTAATTTTATGAACAGAACTATTTTTTCAATGTAGCCTAAACCTTTATTCGATTTTTATCTTACTGTAACTTAGGTACCTATATATTTTTTATATTACCAGCAATTTTGGTTGGTTAGGTTAGGTTATGAAAGTTTACTTTTACAATTAAAAAATTATAAAATTACTTTTACATTTGTTCTTAAATCGACGTGAGGGGCTCTCCCACAATCCCCCACTCCTTTGCAGAAGACGAGAAGAGGTTCTCACCGGTTTTTGACTAGGACCCTGAGACACTAGTACCGTAGCCTAATTACTACCTATAGGTTCCAATGGTCACCTTTACTTATGCATAGTTACTGAAAGTGTTTTCATTCTCGTAACTTAAAAATTTTTTTCAATTTAATTTACCCTATTTTCACAGTACCTTATTTTACAAAAAGGTACAGTAGGCCTATATAAGCTAAGTTAAAGTTAGGCTAGGGTATATCAAAATAAACAAAAAATTAACAACAAATAAAGGCTATGACTGAATAAATAACAATAACAAGAAAAACAATTCAACAATGAAGATAGAAACCATGGCCTAATAAATGTTGTGAAACAATAATTATTCATTAATTCCGAACATGAAATTAGAACACCAATCAATTGATTTACCTTGTGCTCAGTAGATATTGGTGCCTCCGGTCCTCTGGGAATCAGAAGAAGAACTACCATTACCAGTACAGCAGCAAGGACGGCCACCGGACCAACGTTGCGATTTGTCCTTAAAGAGATGAAACACAGAAGCAATGCAGCTGACCAAACCGCCAGGAGAATGAAGGTTCCAACACCAGTACCAAATACTAGTGTAGTCATAATCTGGAATTTCAACTTAATTAAACTTGGGATAAGTTAGGCCTATGCTGTTTTGCAATTTCTTAACTTACTTGTCCATGCAGTAAGTTAGCTGTCTTGCTGTGAGGTAAGTTATGTTATGTAGGTAACTTAAATGGTTAGGTAAAACTATTTATGACTGAATTTCCAGTAAGATGACGGAGAATTTTGCCTACCTTAGGCTCCGACTTAACTTAATGCTTCAAGTCATGGAGGTTGACACAGAAATACCTTAACTTAGGTAATAAGTTACCATCTCTTCGTTTTTGACCAGGTTTACTGGATTAACGTAAAACCTATAAGTTACCTACAGCAATAAGTTAATAGAAGCCTATTTTTTCCCAATTGCAATTAAGTTACCGTACTCCTAATGGCCATACAGCTTAAGAGTGCGCTCTACCTCAGCTCAGAAATCCCAGCTCGGGCTTCTGTTGCTATGTTGCACCATTGGTCAGTGCCGCGAGAAGCGCTTGCAGAGGTTTCCAAGATTACTGTTTTCGAATTAACCAATAATGATAGCTACAGACTATAAACGGCTTATAGTAGTACAAATACCAATCTATAGTTCTGCGTTTTTCAAATTTTCAAATATTGTTTTTTCAATAAGTTAAGTTAGGGCTAGTTGAAAAGACTTTTTGTCCTAAGTACAAATCAAGTTTATAAGGTGTGTATTAAAAATAATTGAAATAAGTTAATAAAACGCAGAACTATAGAAAATTTCATCCTCTTGAATATGAGACCTTAACTTTGATTCTACCTTCAATGTAGCAGGTGAAAACAGTAATCTTGCAAACCCTTGCATTCGGTTGCGCGTCAGGGGTAGAGCGCACCCTTAAAATCAATGCCACAATTTGGAAGTTTTGGATCGGTTGTTTGCCAAACTAAGTTAGGTAACTAAGTCCAGAGATGGGCCTAACTTGTTTAGCCTAAGTTAAGTTACCTGCCCCTAATACAGTAAGTTAGCTTAAGTTAGGCCATAGATAAATCATACTCCATGGTTAGGCCTATGCTAGCGCTAGCTAGCAAAGTATTATAACTTAATTTAAGCTCCATAGGTAGAAAGCTAAGTTAAGGCTGTTGTTAAGCTCAAGAAAGTGAGGATAAGAGGTAAATCCTCACCAGCCTTGTAATAATTTTATAGCCTATTAATTAAGTAAGACCACTTATATTCTGCAAGCTTAAGTAATTGGTCTATAACAAGTGAACGGTAGACTACTATTTAGACACTCTTTTCAATAAGTATAAGAAGATATAAGCGGATAAATAAAAGAAAAATAAGACGACACAAGGACATTTTTAAAACTGCATGTTGGTTGACCTATTTTAAGGGACTGAGCCATTGTTTACTTACATCAGCCACATCTCTTTTCTGAAATAGTTGATATATCAGATGAAAAGCCGCAGATATTTAACAAAACTATGGAAGAATAAAAAAATGAACGTTTTAACTAACTAGTGATCTGAGTTGCGATAATTTCCACACCGAACCGAACAGATGCACAACAAATCGCAACTCGCACCTCAAACTCAAATCAACACCAATGATGCAGATGACGCATTCGTTTCGTTCGGTTGAGTCACCTTTTTGTTATGGTAGCCTTACAATTTTCCAGCTGACACTGGTAACAGGCGGTGGCCAAAACCAAACCCCTTTAAAATCACAAACGACATTGAGCACTGAGCTATAATTCTAACTGGAGGTAGCACTGAATGTCAAAGATGTGTGTCGCCAGCCGCCATGTTTGCGTGGGGCGTTAGTTAGCGCGAAATTTAAAATTACATGCTAATAAATGGTCTGATAACATTATTCTTCGTTATTTAGATCACCATTTAATTTGAAAAAAAAACTGCTGTAAGAAGGGCCTATCTTAAGATTTAGAACAAGAAGCCCTGAGCATAAGACTAGACCTAACTGGGTTTTAGTAATCTTACAATAATAAGTAAGTTAATTTTTTACTAACTTGTGAAACTGGATCCCACTTCTTTTCTGGTAGAATGTCTTGCATCCAAATGCATCACAACTTCTAACCATATTGTCTTAATTGATTTACAAAATCAAACTAAACAACTAATTACAGCAAACAAACCCCATAAGAAACCATGTTATTGCTATGATAAGAACACCCACTGCTATACCAACCTAACAAAATCAGCGACACGCTTTTGACAGACTTCTGCCATGGCAGTGCTACCTCCAGCTATAATTTTAGCTCAGTGACATTGAGTCACTGAGCTAAGAGTATAGCTAAAAGTATAGTTGAATAGTAAGCACGGCCACCTTTAACTACAGGCCGCGGCCTGGTAAAATTGGCAACGTTGCAAGTGGTGTAGTTTAGTGACAGACGTCCTATAAGATAACATGGCAGACAGGTGTGACAGGAGTGTGGGAACCCTTTGTGACAGTTAGATTAATGTATCTGCAATACTGTACTAAAATGCTATGGGAAGGGAGGGAAACAGGTCCACGACGTAGGAAGTGGTGAAGGAAGTAGTCAAGGCGAGCAGTGTGCGGAGTGTGGGATCCCTTTGTGGCCCTTAGATTAATGTATCTGCAATACTAAAATAATATGGAAAGGGATGAGGGAAACAGGTCCACGACGTAGGAAGTGGTGAAGGAGGTGGTAAAGGCGAGAAGTTCTGAAGAGAAGAAGAGTGTGGGAACAGTTTGTGGCAGTTATATTAATGTGCATGCAGATTAAGGATGAATCAGGTCCATGTAGGTAGGTAGAGTCGAAGGAAGTGGTAAATGCAAGCAGTGCGGAGTGTGGGAACCGTTTATGGCATATTATAGATACGTTATTTAGAGATATATATATAATGGATTGTTAATCATTTTTAGGTGATAGGTCTATCGTTCGTATGTGTTAGTGTCAGTCAGTGTATCATCAGTTTAAGCCATGCGATCTTTTTAAGAAGACTCCTTTGCACTGTGCTGCGGCAATCAGGTTAAGTTTGATCTTGATGAGTGCAGTTTGGCTTCGTGTTGTTCATGATAGGCATAATACCAAATAAGGAAACATTTCTAAAAACAAACGTTAATATTTTAACTGTTGTGTATAATTTTAAATAGATGAGTTTATAAAAGACGTTTTGTACAGGAATGATGGATTTACCACCTATCGATCACTGTTGGAAATCCACCACATATATTAACAATGACTTTGGTTGATTAATGGACGAGAAGTTATGATTGTTGTTAACTGAGATTTGGTTTATTTATTTGCCCATACAAATAACATTGTGTTCAGTACACCATTTACATCGTTGGTGCACCAGTGACACCAGTAAGAGTGCGGGTACTCTTTTATTGTAGCGCTCACGTTCACTCATCCCGTTACGCACAGAATAAGCGTAGCCTACTACAGTACTAGTACTAGTTAGTCTTGACGTTATATACATCGATGGTCTTGACAAAGGTTTCATAATAATCACAGTAACTTAAACTACGCACGAGCAAGCTCTACAACGTCAAGCCGAAGTGTGGTCAAGATGAAACTGAAGTTCAATAAATGATTAAGAATAAGAAAACGGTATTGTAAACCTTGCTAAGAGAAGTATAATTACTATAATATTTATTTTCACAGCAAATACGTGACTTTTTAAATCAAAGCCTCCTGCCAAGAGTGGTCTGCCCAAAAAGAGTGGTTAAAATCAATATCGATTATTTTATAGTTGTTTTATTAAATTGAATGTGAAGCAAATTTATACGAAGTATACATAATACACCTTAAAATGTTAGGATTTTCCCAAAATATACGACATGACAAAATTGTTAGGCATGTTGAATACATATTACAATTAATTGCGGCAATTAATCGATTGCTATGTTGTGGTGTTTTCGGGAAATACTAGTTTAATACTGATCTATAAGTATAAAAGAGGATGTTTGTATATATATTTGTTTGTTTGTTTGTTTGTTTGGCAGGGATAAACTCGGACACCGCTCGACAGATTGTAATGAAACTTTCAGGCATTATTAAGCATTATTCAAGGAAGGTTTGTGTGAAGTTTGGTGCTGATCCGTCAAAAGGGCTCCGCCCCAGTGGCTCTGGAGTTTCCCATGTTAACCTTATGAGAAATGGAATTAATGAATCTTAACAGCTGTAAACAAGTTGGTTCTGTTCTATGATGTTCAATAGTAGTTACGTGGATTACCAACAGGGTGCAGCACTATTATTTCTTTTACATTTATGACAACAGTTAATTTGCAACCAAAAGGTGAGTGAGCGTAGCGAACAAACTTTAACCTGGAGGCGAGTTAGCGTAGCGAACGAGCTAACCTGAAGGCAAGTGAGCGTAGCGAACGAGCTAACCTGAAGGCAATTGAGCGCAGCGAACGAGCTCCAACCTAAAGGTGAGTGAGCGTAGCGAACGAACGTCAACCAGGACGTGATTGAGCCATGCGAACGAGATCATCTTGAAAACGTAACGGTACTCAAATTATAAATAGTCAAAGGCAAGACAACGTCTGCCGGGTTCAGCTAGTATACGTATAAAAGTGAAGCCAGAGACAGTGTCAGGAAGGGTTTTGGCGCCGTGGCGGCGGGCATCCCTGCAAACCCACCACATCGTCCTTCAACCAACCAGTAACTGTTTATTTTTATTTTTCAGGGTTACATTTATTAAGGTTACACTTAATTAAGGACATTAATTTGTAGATTAAGGTTACAATTATGAATCCAAACTCATGAGTCATTATCTTTGTCTTTTGATACTGCGTTTCACCCAAATATGAGTGAAGAATGAGTGTAGGATTAGTGGCACGATTTTGTAGTCTTGTTAGTGACTAAGACCGACATGTATAAATATTATTTAGTAAAAATCATCATTTGCCTACTGGACCCAGTGGCGAGTCATTTGTCTGGCCGGGCATGCCAGATCCAGCCGCTCGTGAGTGCGCATGCCGGAATTATGATAGTAATGCCCCAATGATAGTAATGTAAATTATTTGTACACAAAATATATTTAATCTCTAGGGCGTAATGTCGCTCTTTTCGACCCTAGCTCAAGTTATTTTTTCAAAAAAATGAGTGAGGGTTAAAAAGAAAAATTTTTGCTTTGTGAAGAACTGTATTTTTCGTCTTGTTGTAACATTATTTAAGAAAATAAGTTAGAAAAAAGTTGTTTAGGGCTACGTCTCCCTAGTGGGAGACTGGAGACTGGAGAATGGATATTTCAAAACTATACTATAGACTATACAGTATACTACATTATACCACACGCATTGGCATCACTGATCACTACAATAAGTATACGGTTGACAAAATTTACAGCATAAAATATTTATTGCACATGAAAACGCAAGGACCCCTTACCAAACTTTATCTTTCGCATGAAAATCTCATTACGTCTAAATGTTATTTTTTATCCTTGAACATGTTGTATCCCCCTACATACGAGAAGGGATGCGTGTACCCCAGCTTCTGAACTATTTTAACCGCTGCTCTGCTACGGACACCTGAGGCACAGATGAACATTATTGGCGAGTCTTCTGTTGGTTTTTCTCTATTATATTTATTTTTCCACTCTTTTGGCGATAACACGAACTCTTGTTCCAACTGATCCAAGGGTATTTCGAACGAACCCCTGACACCTCCATTGTTCTTGATTTCACCTGGATTTCTTACATCGACTACTTTCAGGCCTTCTTTTATCAATTTCATATATTCTTTGTATCTGATTTCTTGCAATATAATGGTGGATGTTTGAATATATCTTTTGGTCATCAACGTGAAATTTTCTGAAAGAGACACGGTCGTTCCACACAACAGATGATGCATTCGATAAAATGGTTTGGATACATGTCGTTGTGCTTGAAATACGGTTAGAGTAGGAGAGTTATTGTGGATTGAGTTAAATGGCTTGCATGCAAAGTTTCTAAGTTTTGCGTTAATTTTGAAAAGTCTTCTAATGTTTATCATTTTTTATGTTCAATACTAGGATTTTGAATAAAAGTAAACACATATAGGTATGTTGACAGTTTAAAAAATGGAAACACCTGGTTAAATAAATATTACTCATATTGTAAAATAACTCAATTTTAACTACAGGGTATTTGAAAACGTCTTGTAAAATTTAAAAAAATATGTTAACAATGTCTTATACGTTTTTGGATATTTTTAACTAATGAAAATCAACACTTTTACATTGGATAATATAAAAAAAAAAACTAATAATTCCACAATTCATTGTCATGTACCATGCTATTACATAGACTGGTTTATCATTAAATTTTACCTTTGTTCAAGAAAACTTTGACTTGTGTCTTTTTATAGCTTCTAACAAATCAATCTCAGATATTGTTCACAGCCACGTTTATCATGCACCTTGTCTGAAATAAACATGTCTTCAAGCGCAAAAAAATGAGGGTTATTGAATCTGGCAACTAGAGTATTGTAGCCTTTTTCATTAATAATAACAATTCAGAAGTTAGACTTGAAGTACTTGCTCTTCATTTTTCGTGTTACTTTTGTTCAAACGTCATATATATATTTTTAAGTCACAAGTTGTAAAATATACCCTGAAATAAAAGAGAAACGAAATCAATTGACGTTAACCCATTATGTATCCAACGAAGCATTCTTTCAAATAGTCTTCAAATAGGAGTCTACCTACACTAGTCAAAGGGTTTTTACCATGTCCCACAATCTTCTCAAAATAAACAACTAAATCAATCATCATCGCATTGACAAAATGTTCTACCTTGAGATTTCAGGGAATAAAGTAGGAGTAGGCCTATAAAGAAGACTGAAGATTGAGGAATTACCGGCTTGTCTATGATAATCAGGTGTATTTATAGCACTCGTTTACACGTAACCCCCTCCTGGCAGAAGTAGGACAGACGTTGGAGAGTGTGGTGGTCGTCGAGCCAGGAGTCAGTCCTTAGTCTTCAGTCAGTGTTATGAGGTGAGAGTGAGAGCAAGTGCAAGTTAGTGTTGTGTTATCAGTGGCGCTGGAGTGATAAGGACGATAGGTCATGGTAAGTTGACATTAAACTTGAATAGTGCAAATATACTTCTCATCCTAGTAATATCGCAAGCCTGATTTTTTTTTAGACCTTTGCCATTACAATTTTTTTTGCAATGGAATGTTCCCATCTTGGACTTGTTACTGTAACGTTAACCTTTTGCTAGAGATAGCATGGATAATTGATAGTCATTTTGATGTGTGTGTGTGTTTCATGTTTATTGATATATTAGTCAACGGATGTAAAAAACTACTTTAATTATTTTAGGGTGGATTTGAAAATTTGTGATTTAATTTTTGGTTATAATTGAGGACAAGCAACTGTACCCAAAAATTACTATAATTAGTTAAAGTAACAAATAGTTTACAACTAAATTCCCTCTACGTAAATCGGTCAAAGGTTTATCATAAAACCACCATTGATTTAGTTCAACCATAGAAATAAAAAATATGTAGGAAAGTATTTTTTGTAGGCCTGGTGAAAGTGATTCGATGGACCTTGATCAAGATTTTCGAGGGTTGTCCGTAAGTCTTCATTGAACTTCTGTCGCTGTTGTGGTCAAGCCACCTTCCAAATCTGATACAACGCCGTGTCCGATCTTCACATTATGTTCATCCATTCTTTAGCCGGCTCCCTCCTCTATATGACGATTAGTTTAGTCATAAGCTGAAAAATATACGTGAGAAAAAAGATGTTGAGCCAATTAAAATCGCATTCTGCTATACTACGGACCAAGACCAACTTTTCTTTTCCTTTAGCCAAGACTATTTTATTAAAATCCCAACGAAAGGGAAGCTGCGCCAGTTTCGAACAACCCTTGCATCTCTCAATATCAAATGAATCATTGTAGATAAGTTGTTTTCTCGTTCGAAGATAAAAAATCCAGTTTCACGTTGATTGTCGAAATTAGAATAGAAATAACCCAGATATCCAAATCATGGCATGTAATCCGACAAAACCCTAATGGACCAATCGTGTCCAGCTTGTAACGCTATTATTAACTCTATCGCTTGTACTGTTTAGGGAAGGAATTGTGTACAATCATTTAACTATTGTATTGTATAAATGAATCACAAGGAATACCTTGAAATGTCCCGTTGTTTGCACTTAAACCTGTTTATTAAACAATACCCAAATGTCGGCGCTACTACCTGAGTTGAGCAACGATGTTTCGTAATTGATTCGACTCGGTGAACATCTAGGTTCCGTCAACAACAGTCTTTCTGCCGTTAACATATTCATGTGTTCAGGAACCCAGATATTACATGAATATGACTGGTAGTACCGTAAATCTAAAACTGGTTACTTACTGTTCTCAATCACAGAAGTCTCGCTACAGGAAAATATACTTCACCCAAACAGGTCCAGGGAGAAGTAATTTCTCAGACTTTACCAACCAAATTGATCAATTTCAACTCCGATCCGAGTGCAATCAGGCTAAAGGGTACAATACATAGCCGAGTGTTGTTGACCAGCTGAGTGCTGAGTGGATTTAGTGGTCATTTGGTAATCAGAAGGCTGCAAGTCGATCCTGAGGGAAGTCAATAGCCTTTTAAAAGGGTGTAAACAGCTGTCCTTCACCATTGTGCTTCTGTATTCTCGTAATGCTCCTTGACGAAGAACCAGCTGATGTTAGCAAATGGCATAATTCACTCAGCACTCATGCATCAATCGTATTTTTCTTCAAATACGCACCCTAGTGTGTTGACGTCGTATGAATCTAATCCAGCTACGCATTGTTTAGCAAACATAACCACACATATACAACAATTTGCTATTCTGCTAGCTTACAGAAATCTTTAAAGAAATACTAGGATTTCCTGCAATCTCACACAAAGAATGTGTAGTAGAGCACGTAATATTACCCAATCCCGTTTAGCAATTAACACAAGAGGTTTACAGGTGAGGTAATGGTAGTAATGGGTGTAATGGAGGCGCGCAAGCGGCACCGAGACACGACGCAGGCGCAATAGACGCGCAAGTTGGCAAGGCTAATGAACAACCCGGAAATGGAGAGGAAAGTTTGATGTTTGACGCGACTGTTTGTTTAGCCGACTTTCTTTAGCCGCGTCCTCCATACGACCTTAAATTAGCCGGATCATCTTCAGTGACATGGATACATCATGAAGAATATTGTATGGAGTTTGTTTGGTGTATGTTTCATGCGCGGTACCGCTTGTGTGCTTTGGTTCAATTTTATATGGTGTGTTTTGGGCTACTATAGGACAAGCATGAATTAGAAAATATTTTGTTCTATTTGGTCGGTATAATATTTAATTCGTCGTAAGACTTGCAATTATGAAAATTATTTATTCTTTGAACTTCCTCCTCAAACTTCGTTTGTGAGCTAAAGGATACAGAAAGTAAGCCTCTTATTTTCCCAGATGTAATACGCACTCAATAACTCCTAAACGAAGCTTCTAAACGGAAGCGTAAACAAACTTTTTTTAAATCATATTATTTACATTCCAAAACAATCATAAAATACCAGCCATTCCAAACAAAATGCTATCAATCCTTCTTTTCTTGCTATACTTAATATTAAACATAAATATTAATGGAGATTTATCACTCAAAAATACATGTATCATTCTAGACCTTGTTGCATAAACATCATTATTTGTGTAACATGACTACCTTTATTTATGGAAATTTGTCCGGTTCTGTCATTAACAAGTAGACATGTAAAATCTAAAACAGTCTTAGTTTCAATGTAAATAACGATTGAAAGATATCACAGACATGGCCACAAGCAGCGTCTTAACCAGACTAGAATATAAAATTCACTTGCTAATAATATATCGGTAGTCCCGATATTACTTTTTCCGCCAGTACAAAAACTGCTAACTAACCAACTTTGGAGCCAACATACTTTTTAGACGTTCCAAAAAGGCAATGCAACACCAGTTAACGAAAGTAAAATTCCAGCGTTCCAGCTTCTAAGCGAAAGTTTATCTTATTCTGGAGGTGACTTTCTTCTGTGAAAGTAACCGGTTTAAAGCGTCCATTTTGATTAATATTTGGTAATTTTAGATTATTTCCTTGTCCTGTAGCAATATTTTGTCACTTAGTAGTATGACATGTTCCCACCAATCCTAGGATAATGATACAGGTTAAGGCGAGTTTTAAGAAAACGCTGAGTTCTAAGCAGGTTAGGCAAGCAATAATTCCAGATTTCAAGACATTCTAATCTAAATGTATGTGTTTTAAATCTCCATGCACATAACGTTGTCTCAGATTTATGTTCCACAGACCTTCAAAAGTTATCATAAAAAAAAAAAACTATAATTCTGAAATTGCAAACATGTAAATGTCTGTATAAAATGAACGATCAGTGTTCCTCATAAACACAAAAGTTCAAGACATGTTTACATTCGCGTTTATTAACAGAAGGAACACATAGGAACTATGTGACAAAAACAATAGAGTAATCTTTGTAGTAAATTGATTATATTTGATTGTTAATGGGTTGCTGATTAGATATGGTCCTCGCATAGAATAAGAAGGTCGTCAGATTGATACAGAGAATAGTTAGAAGTTTTTGACTGTTTGAAACTAACCCCAGCTGTAGAGTTCAATGTTGTCCTTACTAAAAAAACAGCTCATCTTAGTCAGTCAACATTCAACACCATCCTCCACTTATTTTCGTCTTAAAATGCGCACCCTGAAGTCAATGATAGGTTTTACGTATGAGTTAAATATTCTAAGGATTAAGATTACGTGTTTTGTTGCAAAGACAACATTTTTCAAAGCCTGCAACTCGTCAAAAAGTAGATTATTTTTTTGTGTCCGGAGGCCAGAAACATGAAATTTGATCACCCTGAAGTGTTTGCATGATATACAGTGGCGTCATTTCACCAAATCCTTGGGGGGGGGGGGCAAACACCAGGGGGCACGGGGGTATGGAATACAATTGTGCAGTTTTGAAACAAAAAAGAGGGGTTTTATGCTTATTTTAATTGTCAAAAGCACTTCAAATAAAAAAAAATATGAGTAAAATTTATGTAAATTTAGGCAGAAAGTTAATGAAACTAAGAATTATTGACAACAGACAGAAACACAATAATTTTATGTTGGTAAGTTAGTCATCTAAGAAACGTGATCAATAGTTCTATGATGTATTAATATTATGTTTGTTATTAGATTCATGACCAATTTCTCTTGTACAACATTTAGCTGCTAAATGTTGTACAAGAGAAATTGGTCATGAATTATAAATTTTAGCAATGAATACGGTTGTGCATAGCCTATAGTGTATAACAGTTTATTTTGGTTTTTAAATAAAATACAAGTATTTAAGAACTTAAAAGCAAATCAAATTTTATCGCCAATAAAATAATTTGACACAAAAGTACAAATGTTCTTTTTAAATATTTTAAATTGGTAGTCTACAATGTTCAAAATAAATTACGTAAAATTTATACACATGTATAATTTTAATGCTTGAATAATTCATAAAAGTAAATGGCAAAGCAATGCTTCTAAAAAATATGATTTTTTATGTATATATATAAACTAGAAGTAAGTAGTTTATGGTACAGCACCAAACAGAAAAAGTAAATGAATAACAAAACTACTAATTTATGTAAACTCAAAATGTGCTATCTAAGACAATAAAACAATAATAATTTTTGTTTCAAATTACTGTACAACAATATACAAATTTTTGTCTGCTGTGCTTTATAGGATTTGACAGGAGAAAATATTTGTATATTGGCTAGTACAGCATATTTTTTTTCTCTAGCCCAGGATCCAGGGGGGGGGGGCAAATGCCCCCCCTGCCCCCCCCCCCAAATGACGCCCCTGAATACAGTTCAACTGAAATCACTTGTTAAATGTAGTGTAAACACTTCGTGACTCCAAAACCGCTGTCCACAATTCTCTTTATATCTTAGAGTTTTACCATGTTTTACATACACTTCATCGTTTCTTCTATATTCTTTTGCTTAATAGTATATCAAGCTCAGTAGATTGACTGACTTACCCCCGTTCTCAAGGCGAACGTGTGAGAG